ACAAAAAGTTTATTATTCTCCAAGGCATCAAGTAGTTGGAATGGGGCTGGCAGCCAAAGCATGGGAAAACTATAGTGGGGCCAGCCTCAGAATTTCAACTTAGAGGAGTAAAATGATTTGCATATGTGTAAGACAATCCTGATTGGTAGACCTTTCAATAAGGATGTGGGATTAATGTCTTAGCATCATTGGGAGACAGAATTAGTACTAAAGAGATGGTATTAACCCTCAGGTAATGAGAGTAGTCTACAGGAGATGGGATTAGTCCTAAAGTGACCCAAAAATTGAGAAAGGTTAAAACATGGAGGTCACTCAGATTGACTCTGTCCCAATGGCTGACTTTGTATAATTCCCTTTGGTGCTAACCATGCTCACGGTACAGCACCACAATAAGACCAAAATAGTTATCTTCATCATCCTAATTTCTGCTGTTTACGCCAAATCATGCCAAATCAATTTGAGTAAGCATTAGTGGCTATAAACCAGGGGATTTAAACTTGCAACAGGAAAAAGTGTACTGTGGCCATGGGTATTACAAAAATAATAATCCCATGTTTTCTTCAAAGTCATAAAAATTAAACAAACTTAAACAGTCATAATCTCATATTCCTTAAAAAGATAAACTATTGTTAAATAGGCCTTGTAGATAAACTAAATCAGGTTACAGATTAAACCACTTAGAGGGCTTACCCAGTACTAATCTGAGAGAGGAGATTTACATATCACCAGTCACCTAGAAAACTCAAATATCTGACCTTATTATCCTTCTAGTCAAAAATACCCAATGGATTCCATTTGTTTCTAGGATAAAATTCAAACTTCTCAGTCTGGCATTTAAAATCATCCACAATCTAGCTCCACCTACTTTTCCAATATAATTTTACAATTACTGCCCTTCTCATCCGACCATCCTACATATTACTGGTTGCTGTTGTTCATTCTTCATTTCCAGTAGGACCAATAACATCATGGGTGATGTCTCGACTTAAATGCAAATTGCATTTAAGTGAGGCAGAGTTGCACAAAGTCATCAGCCTCACTCTCTCTTCCAGAGTCATTGAAGTCCAGCAGCAAAACAAAAGTCAGGATTGGTGACGGCCCGAGATGCAGTGGATGACCTTGGCATCTTCACCTTTGAGGTCTGACTAAGCTCTAAGTTCTCCACAGTGCCTACTTCAATCTTCTTCATGGCTGCTGGAACAAATTGTTCTCATTTGCTCATTTTGCCAAAAGAATTCTTTACTTGCTTGGGGTAGACATCCCCCTAATTCACAGATAGGTTTGAGGACTATGGGTTACCTTCAGTCTGGTTTAGCTCACTACTGAAATGGTTTTACCAGAGTGTGATCTGCCAAAGACAAGTGTATATATGGAAGAAATTCATGCTGGAGACAACACAATACCATGGACACTGAGGGATCAACATATTAGGTATCTTGAGGATAGGAAGATACTGAAGCCTGGAAAAAAATATCAGACCTTATTAATAACAAAAAAGTCAACCAAGAAAACATCAGTGACTACTCTCCCACACATACAAATGTGCTTTCTCTGGAGTTAGTTTTTGATGGAAAAGTACTAAGGTTCAGGAGACAAAATAGAAGGGATTTAAAAGGAAGTGACTGATATGTGAAAACAAAACACATCAATGCAAACAATTTTTAATCTACAAGATGCTCTGTATCAACCTAGTTCAAGCTTGTTTGTCACCTGATATGGATAGCATTCTACTGCATTGGTGACCAAATCAGCTTCAGAGATTTCTTTGAAGATAACTCCCAGAGGAGGAGGAAGAGGAAGATGTTGGTGATGATGATAAGGTATACCTCCAGTCATAATCTCTCCCTTGAAAAACCCAGTTCAACATTTCCAATTGCAAGCCATGCATTTTTACATCGATGTCCCATCTGTATCTCCAACTCAATGTCTCTAAAATGGAATTAATGTTTGCTTCAAAATCCATCCCTCTTCCTATCTTCTTTCCCCCCCTTCCAATCCTCTATATTTTTGTTGAGAGTATCTCTATCATTCTAGTCATTATGGTTTGCAACCTTGCAACTATCCTTGACTCTTCCATCTCCCTCACTCCCCAAATCCAAGTCTAGTAAGGGAGATTATAGCATTTTTCTTTGGTTTCGGGTTTCCTCTTGGATAGTAAAGTGTTTTTCTATACTTCCTAATACCTACTAGGTTTAGTATCTCAAGCCCAATCAGAATTCATTATACAAAACAAGCCATACACAGAAATACTTTTTCTCTAATATTTCCAAACATGTAAGTTCTTCCATTATTATTTGGGTAGATCTAACCATATTAGATAAAATGGTCTGTCATCCCTACATTTTTTCTCATGTCCTTTTGATGGCCTTTCAAAGATGGTATAGAACATATCAAAAAGTCTCCAGGTAAGCTTGTGTTGACAGTACTTTGATTTATACACACTTGGCTAAGTCTTGAACTTGTATATAAATTTATTCATGCTCTGGCCTAATTGTAATTGAAAATGAAAATAGTATTTATAAGCCGTTGACTGAGCCATTTGTATTTTTGGAGGTGACTTTGGTGTTTCAAAACAAGATACAACAATTCAGTTCAATTGGACAAACATTTATTAAGCACCTACCACAAGATTTCTGCTCTCCAAGACTCTTGGGGGTGAGAGGTTATATAATATATACACAAATAAATACATAGCAATACAAAGTAATTTCAAGAGGGGTATAGTGTTAGCAACTCAGAGATGAAGAAAGGCCTCATGGAGGTGGAACTTGAGTTGGAGAGAGAAAGAGATACAAGCAAAACATAGAAATAGGGTTGGGAAGACTTGGCAGCATCACATCCTGCCTAATATACTGGTGACCCTGAAGCCTAAGTAGAAGGTTCAGTGGACTGAACATGGAACAATGCTACCTAAGCTTTAGTGTTGCTGACATTATTGATGTAGGACCATAATTACATTTTTGTATCCATCTTCCCATGGGTGAAACTTAACAATTAGAACTATCCACAAGAGGCACACATAGTCTCATGAATAGTAGGTTTCCCCTCTCCCCTACTAGAAGTCCTTGTAGATGAAAAACAAATGACAAATTGTTGGGAATGCTATAGAAGCAATTCTTGGTCAGGAGAGGTATGGATTGAACTAGACTACCTGAGATCACTCCCAAACATGAGATCCTGTGACTCCTGCAATGGAGGTTCATGGTATTGTTTAAAGAAAGAGTATTGGCGTCAGAGTAGCAAATGAAAAAGAAAAGAGCCAAGACTAAGAAAAAGTTATAGTAGGCATCTTGGAAAGATCACAACAGCCTGAGTCAAGGCCTTGGTTGCTGTGATGGACAGGAAGATTTATCACTATTTAGCAATGTACAGACATTATTGTACCTATTAAAATACTTGTCTTTAAAATGATACTGTGGTATCCATTGAACTTTTCAGAATGAGCTAAACACAGATCACTAAATATAAAGCTGACAACTAAAGACTGGACAGATTCTGAATGCCTTTTTAGAGAAAATGTTTGAAAAAACAATTAAGAAAAAAGAATAATAACACATTAATCATCACTAGAAAAGGTAGCTGGACAACTAACCTTCCTGTAACTTTCTCTACATTCACGTTCCTCAGATATTATTTTATCTGGAAGGAGACATTTGAAGACTACAGCTATGCCATCTCATTTTTTTTTAATCTAGGGCAACAGTTTCCTATGTTCAAAATGTAAGAATACATTTAGAATCTATTGACTCCTGATTTATCTATTTAAGTGCAAACTTATCTCTTAGAGGGGAAAGTTAACTCCTCCCTCTTGAAACAAAGTATCTAGCTGAAACAAGCGCACAATTCCAATAATACACTCCGAAGGAAAATATTTAGTATCCCACAGAAAAGTCAAAGGTGGATGTAGGCAGAGTCCTATAATTATAATATGGAAGCTGAAACAATTGCTACATTCTGCTTTACTTTGTTCATATATTTATGGAAAAAATAAGTTTTAACTAGTCAATTTAATCATGTCAAAAAGTCATTATGGAATTTTTCTTGTTCTGGGTGAACACTTGCAACACTTTTACTCTAATACATTACTAAAATATTTTAATAAAAACAAAATGATACCTTTTACTCTGACATTTCACTGTAATGCCATCTTCAGGTTCCATGCTTACAGACCTCATCAGTGAGATAAAATTAAGATAAAGTCTTTCAGGCTACTTTATATGAATTCCACAATATCAATTTATTGTACGAATATATATGAACTCACACTATATCAAGGATCGTATTTAAGCAAAGTACAACTTTTAACATGTTTCATTCAAGGGAAAATGCAAGCAAGTTTCTTTTTATTTTCAAGTAAATCACATACCTCACATTTCATTACTATTCCTGAATTATACGTCCACCTTTAAAAGAATCTGGAAAAAATATTTAAAGGGCTTTCTCTCCACAGAGCTATATCTTCCCATGCATTTTACATTGGAATTTATTGTTAACTGCAAAACAAGTAACGATTGTTTCTGAGACACCCACTCTTTTAAATTATAACAGGCACATGACTTTATAGTAGAAACAACAATCCCCAAAAGAAGGAAAGGAACTGGTGAGATTCCAAAACTGTCTGACATGGGTTTCTGTAGACTTCACTGACCCCGAATCTCTGCCTTCCATCTGAGCATCCCTCCCCCGCCCCCGACTCAGGAATCCTTCCCGGAGGTTTCAGACTCCGTTCAGCACCTTCACCACCAACATTTCCTTCCCTTTTTCCCACCTCGTCCCTTGTCCCCCCCCAACACACACACACCTGTCACAAGCAGGAGCCCCGATCCCCCGGCCCGCGGCTCCTGCCCTCGCCCAGCCCCTCCTCCTCCGCCTTCCTGCGGCTGCTTTCATGGGCATCTCCCGGGCTGTCATCGCGGACCGGGGACCGGGGCCCCTGGGCCGCGCAGAGGCCGGGCAGCCGCCGCCGCCGCAGGGAGGGCAGGGCCGGGGGAGCCACTCACCGTGAAGCGCTGGTCGCCGACGCTCCCCACGGAGAAGCAGTGGTCCCCGGGGTTCACGGCCCCGCAGTCAGGACCTGGTGCAGGTTCATGTCGTCACTGCCCCTCCGGCCGCTCGCTCCTGCCTTCACTCCCGCAGCTGTGGCCGGGGCAGCCTCATGCCCGAGGCTGGCGGTGCAGGGGGATTGGCGGCTGGGGGACGACGGCGGCTGCTCCTCCTAGGGCCGAGGGTGGTTCGGAAGCTGCGGCGGCGGGCGCGCAGACCTGCAGCCGCTTCTCTGGGGCCCGCGGCTCATCCCGAGCGCGCAGCGCAGCGTAGGCTAGGGGAGGGGACCAGACGGGAGGGAGGGGAGAGAGAGAGGAAGGGGCTTAAGCGAAGGAGGGGCGGGGGCGGGGCGAGGGGGAGCCGCGCTGCTCACGCGCGCACCTGTCACCGTCCGCACCAGACAGCCCCGGGTGGCAGCGAGATCAGTTCCGGAACCACCCGCGCCGGAGCCGCAGCTCTAGGTCGAGCACTTGCCCGGGAACGAGCAGCCAGCACTGGGGGGGCCGGGAAGTGGGAAGAGTGACTTCCTCTTCAGCGGCTGGAATCCGGCTTCCGTGGAATGCGGGTGGCGCAGTAAGCCCACAGTGTCTCCACACGCCTCTTCCCTGACCTGTCCCCTCTCGGCATCGGTCTTCGCCACCCTTTTTCCTCCCGCCTCCACTGGTCTCGATCGTTAGGAGTGTGTTTCTCTCCCCCAGCAAAAGCCGTATCGCGAGATTTTCCGTCGCTTAGGTCTGATAGGGCGGGAGTTGTTAAAGGGACTTAGAGCCGTTGTCATCTTCGTAGTGAGTGAATCGAGAGGCGTGACTCCGTCCGGTCCTCCAGATTGACCAATCCCCTTCTTGAATGCTCTGGGTTCGACCCAGAGCAAAACAATTGCCAATCGATTTGGTGCTCGTGGGCAGCCGCACTGCGCGATATGCTGTTAAATCTCCGGGGGAAGGAATGAATGGAGGAAGATGGGGTTTCGTTACCTGATTATCGGACGTAAGCTTTAACAACTTCTGGCTAGGGGACTGGAAAGCTCTGCGGCTAAACCCGAATGAAAGAAATGTATTAATTGGAACCAGGGCTGCTGACCTCTTCTAACCCAGGCCTCCTCCTTGACTACAAATCCCATCATGCAATCTTCCCCTTTGGGTGGAACACGCTAGTGTCCTGAGTGAATGTGACCCTTGAAGCAGTCATGCAGCTAGAAGCATAAGTGCCAAATTTATATGAGCGTTTCAAACTATAAATACGTGTTGCAAAAATATGGCAATTCAGATAAGCTTAGAGACAAAGCAAACGTAATAGGGTGCTCTTTTCTCAACCAAATTCTTTAATTAGTACCATAAAAACAATGAACAAAGCATTAAGAGACAGCCACTAAGTCATGGGGATTCAAAACCGAAATGAAACAGTACTTGCCCTCGGCGAGTTTATATTCTTTTGGGGGAGATAACTATATAAATATATCTGCAGATTCATATGAACTCTTAAAGACAGGAGATCAGACTTTATTGGAACTCTGGGGCTCGTTATGCCCCCACCTTAATGTAGAATCTGGGGGAAATTACAGATTTTAGTAGGGTCTCATGTTTGGGCCTCTCTAAAAGGAATAACAGTCGTTCTCAAAGAAGCCTGTCTCTGTATCAGGTGTAGAATGGCTCTTCACAAATGAAATGCTTAAAGCTAAAGATTCATAGGCCCACATTGAAAAATACTTAAAACACAAAACACTAAGGTAAATAATAGGAATCTGATACTTAAAACATGACACACTTTGTTGGACTCTGAATAGGCATTTCATTTTAATCCCTAATCTGCACTGTCAGAGCAATTTCCTCAAGGTATCTGCCTGGCAAGTCATACTCCAAGATTTTCTTAGGCTTTCATCTGTTGTATCTTACTAGTGATGTTCATCTTCTCTGAACACTTAGAGGAATTATCTCTAGCAGGGCAACCAGTACCCAGACCCAGAAGCTCCCAACTTCTTCTAATTCATGAAGTTCCTACTAAGTTTAAGAATATCCATCTCAGGACCTCTGCTCAGGGAAACAAATACAATACAAAAGAGGGAATTAGCCTTGAGATCCACTATGAGGCTTACCTTGACAAGCCTGTGCTCTCAGTGTCCTATTCACATAGTTGCTATAGGGTGCAGAGGAGAAAAAACAATCTCCTCTCCTTTCCTGGAAATCTTAAAGAGAGCTCAGAATCCCAACATATTTGACATATTGGAAAGGAGGGCAGAGTGACTCCTCTTAAAATCTACCTAGTGGTCAACTCCTTCTGGAGGGGGAGGGAAGATGGTACCTGCAACTGCAAATCTAGTAGGTGAGCTTCATGAAGAAAGCAGCACTTGAGCTAACTTTGAAGGAAACAAGGAGTTTCAGGTTGAAGTGAGAAAAGACTATATTCCAAGCATGGGGGACAGCCAGCACAAAGGCATGGAGAGAGGAGATGGAGTATTTTGTTTGAAGGACAGAAAGAGGGGCAGTTTAAAATTTATAAGGTTGGAAAGATAGTCTGGAACCAGGTTTTGAAGGGCTTTAAATGCCACAAAGAGGAGAATGTATTCTATCCTCAAGGCAATAGGGATCCATTGCATTATCTTTAGTAGGAAAGCCATGTAGTCAGACCTACACTTTGGGAAAAATCACTTTGGAAGCTATCTGTAGGATGGATTTGAGAGGAAGAAGATAAGGTAGGAAGATCAATTAGGAGGCTGTCATAGGGGTTCAGATGAGAAATGATTGGGGCTTGGGCTAGGGTAATGGCTGTGAGCCGTGCTTGAGGTCAGAGACTGTCTTTTGCCTCTTTTATATCCTCAGAGCTTAGCACAGTACCTAGCACACAGTAGCCACTTAATAAAAGTTTATGGAATGAATGGAGAAAGGGAGAGATATGGAGATAAATATGACAAGATTTGGCAACTCATTGGATGTATGGAATGAGGAAATGTGGATAGTAGAGGATAATTGCAGGGTTATAAACCTGATTGATCGGAAGGATGGTGGTAACCTCAATAGAAAGGGGAAAGTTTGAAAGAGGGATGGGTTTGAGGGAAAATAATCGGTTTGGTTTTGGATATGTTGAGTTTGAGAAGCCTACAGGACAACCAACTTGGAGTATCCTGTAGGTAAGTGGAGCTGTTCAGTTGGAGTTTAGGAAAGAGACAAGCACGACTTATATACATTTGGGAGTCATCTGTAATAAGATGATAGTTTAACCCATGAGAGGTAATAAAGTGAAACTATATTACACTGGGCAGTTCTTCCACAGTATAGTTAAGGAGTTTAAAAGCATTGTGATTTCATTGCTGTGAGTATTCCCTCATGCTATGCAAAAGTCAAAGTCTCTCAAAGTTGTTTATCATTACAATATCATTATTTGTTGTTCATACTTCATTTTTGAAGAGGACCAATGACATTATGGGGTGACATTTTGACTTGCATGTGAATTTAAGTGAGGCAGAGTTGCTCAGAGTGTTTAGCCTCACTCTCTCTTGCAGAGTCATTGAAGTCCGGTAGCTAGACAAAAGTCAGAACAACTGGCGATGGCCCAGGATGCAGTGGATGACTTTTCCGTCTTCAATGTCCAACTAAGCTCTAAGCACTCCATAGCCCCTTCTTTAGCTGCTAGGTTGTTCCCATTCTATGGGTGGAAGGGGGGAATTTTTCATATGCTTGGTGTAGATATCCCCCTAACTCATGGATGGGTTTGAGGCCTGTCAGTTATCCTTAACCTCACTGCTGTGCATGCTACAGCTTCTTGGAGCCACATTGAGAGTTGGGTGAAGTGGACACCAAAGGTGCTAAGCCTCCCTGAAAAGGGCTCTCAGCAAGCCCTTACATCAGAGGTCCCTGAATTTTATATATATGTATATATATATATGTAGTCCTATCATGATTTATTTCTGCTCATTTCACTCCATATCAGTTCAGATATCTCAGGTTTCTCTGAAAACATGATGGTTTCTGAGTGCAAGCTGAATCATATTTTTCTCTTTATTTTTCTTGCCTCTTTTTTTTGCAATGTGGCTAATATGGGAATATGTTTTGCATGATTTCATATGTGTAATAGGTATCATATTTCTTGCTTTCTCAATGGGTGATGGAGGGGGTGGAGGGAAGAAGAGAATTTGGAACTGAAAATAAAAAAATTAAATAAAACATTTAAAAAAAGAAATCATACCTTTCATCATTTCTGACAGCACAATAATATTCTATCACATTCATGTACTTTTCCATTTCCATACATGATAAGTATTCCCTCAGCTTCCAATTTTTGCCATAGTGGTTGCTATAAATATTTTTGGACACATATGTGCCTTTCCTCTATTTTTTAATCTCTTTGGGGTACAGATCTAGTAGTGGTATTAACTGGGTTAAAGGGTATGTGCATTTAGTTGTTTTGTGCTCATATGGTCCAAAATTGCTTTCTAGGATGGCTGGATCAGTTCACAGTTCCACCAGTAATGCTTTACTGTACCTGTTTTTCTACTTCCCCAACATTATTTGTCATTTTTTTTTTGTCATCTTAGCTAGTCTGATTGGTACATGGTAAAACCTCAGAGTTCTTTTAATTTTCTTGTCTCTAATTATTAGTGATGTAGAGCATTTTTAGTATGGCTATTGGTAACTTATATTTCTTCCTCTGAGGAATGGTTCTATTCATAAAAATGTGAGCCAGTTCCCTACATATATTAGAAAGGAGACTTTTATCAGAGAAACTTGCTCTGAACATTTTCCCCCACTTGGTTTTGTTTGTACAAAAACTTTAAAATTTTATGTACTGTAATCACATTTGTCCATTTTACCTTCTGTGATCCATTCTCCTCTTTTTGGATATAAACTCTTCTAACCATAGATCTGACTGATAATTTCCTTCCTCCTCTAATTTGTTTATGATGTCAGCCTTTATGTATAAATCATGTACTCATTTGATACTTTCTTGGTCTACAATGTGGGTTTAGACTTACTTTCTGCCAGATTCCTTTCCAGTTTTCCCAGCAGTTTTTTTTGAGTAGTGAATTTCTTGCCCCAATAGCTGGGATCTTAGGGTTTATCAAACATTAGGCTGCTGTGTTCATTTGCTTCTGTATATTCTGTACCTAATCTGTTCTGTTGATCAAACTCTCTATTTCTTTTTGTTTGTTATTTTAGTCATTTCAGCTGTGTCCAACTCTTGTTAACCAAAGATACTACAGTGGCTTACCATTTCCTTCTCCAGCTTATTTTACAGATGAGGAAACGGAGGCAAACAGGGTTAAGTGACTTGCCAGAGTCACACAGTTAAT